ATTATTTCACCGGATACGTGGTCGCGGACAATCGGGGACGATGTCCGAGTATGTGGCAGGATTTCGCCCGGTAAGCTTTCTCTCTAAAAGCATCAGTGTCAGCCTGTTACCCTATTAGTCGCATTTTTTTATGACATACCGGTGTGTGGTGAACAGCGAACGTGACTGACGGACCCCATAGTCACGTGGACCTGCTGCTGTTCAGTGATGGTAACCGGCAACCTGATCCCCGAGACTTGAAATGGCGAACCACATAAGGTGTGGTCTACCGCCAAAGTTGGTTGGCGGTGGCGGTGGCGGGGCTCGAACCTCGGACCACAGAGTCCAAAGCACGCCGGTGACAGCGACTAAACCACTACGTCACCACTACCACCAAGAGCTATAGAGATTCTTGAGGAAAAAACCCGAGTGGCACTTTGTACCATAGGCCCAAGAGCACTTGTGGGTTCGTCCATGAAGCCGATTCATAGTCATATAGAAAAAATTACCCGGCAAGGCAAGTTACTCAAATAGGGCTTCGTCACTGGTCTCACTGAAGAACTGCACTCGCAAGTCATTAGAAACCCGTTTCAAACCAGTCGAATCAGGTCGTACTTTTTGTTAAGTTCAAGGAGTTCATTACATTGAAATATTGTCAAATATCCGTAAAATCGGTCAGATCCCTACTAGTAGGTATGTGACACGAACTTATCTTCATTGAAAGACTGCAAGTGTATACTTTCAGTCTGACATATCACGTTAAGGCACCATTATTCATCGTCGTCCAAACCGGTATGTTATACTGGCGTCATTTGATAAGAATCCTCTTCCTTGTTCTGTGTATTGCACCACTAGATGAATTTCAACTCTCCCTGGTCGTGGCATGCCTCTTGGATGGTGGTGGCGCAGTGGTTTAGTCGCTGTCACCGGCGTGCTTTGAACCCTTATGGTCCGAGGTTCGAGCCCCGCCATCGCCACCCGACTTTGGTGGTAGGCAGCTCTGCTGTCGTCCGGTTCAATACCTACGCCTAACCTATCGCGGCCTTATGTGGTTCGCCACTCCAAGTCCCGGGGCTTAGATTGCTGATTTCAACCACTGAACAGCAGGTCCTCGAGACTATGGGGTTTACCCCGTCTGCTGTTCATCACATCTAGGTGTGTAATTAAAAAAAAAAAAATAAACTTTTCCGCAATATACACACTACTCAGAAAACTTTGTGAATTTCTGGAAAAATGCTTGTTTTCCTTGTGTGTGTAGATATTTTAGTTTTTTTTAATTTTCTCGTACTACTGTATCGATTGTTCATTCATTCCAGCCTTCTTGATCTCCATCCGTGGCCTCGTATTTCGTGAACTGTTTGTCCGCTTCTTCAATCGAAATGCACACGTTGGGGACTCTGTTGTGACTCTCCNCCCCCCCCCCCCCACCGCGCGGCTGCAACTTTGTCAACAACCTGATCAACAGGTGTTATACACTTTGAAGTCCAAAACGATACTAACCGAACGCCGCGAATAGGTCCTCATCGCCGGCTGGGGTTGAGTAATTTCAATTTTACTTGTCCCTCAACCTGATTGAAGTTTCCTTGCAAAAGTTCTCATCACTAACCAGAATGAAATCTTTACTGACTGTGGTGTACTGATCCCTTCCTTGTCCGTGTGCAGTATCATGCAAGACTCACCTGTGCATCCTCATCTGTTGAAGTCCGGTGCATCAGCCACCCGTTCCAGACAAGTGTTACATCAGTTTTAGTCACACCACAAGCATGAGGAGTACAAGTTCCTCTTTCTCCCTCTCTCTGGTTGTAATTTTTAAACAATTGTCTCTAGGGGATACACTAGTTCCGTAGATCGTTGTAATTCACAGTCACTCGAGTGCGAGGACTACAAGCGATGTTCCCAGCACCTTTCAGTCTTTTCACGTCACTGTGCCACCGTCGTCCGACTACTTTGGCTTTTAAGCAGATTGGAGACTGGAGAGGTGGCGTTCAGTGAAGGCACAAATCGTTGAACATTTTCGCTGTTTACACGTTACCGTTACTGTTTATTCAGTATGGCTGAACATGATCCATGTACGGCTAGTCACCGAATCGATAACCGTAACTTCTTCTTAGCCGTGACCTGAGGACGTGCCAGTTCATCTGCAACTCAACCATTGTGGTCAATCTGCCAATACATTTTTCGTTGTTTGAAAGTCAGGATCGTATGTCAATTAGCTTCTTTTTTTGCACAATAGTTTTATAAAAATCTGTTCAAAAATATATTCAAGCTGACAAACATAATCTAACTATGAACGTTTTAAAAATTATTACTTATGTACGAATCCTCTCCTATTTTGTTATGTCATATGTCATATGTCAATTTTAACGCAACTTGTTTTCTTTTCCAAACTGTTTTGTCCAACTTTAATCTCTCTCTCTCACAGATCATTGTCATGTCGGCCACAATCGATCCCACTCCTTTCCTGAACTTTCTCGGTCCCGATCGAACCCGTGTCATCTATATTGAGGGACGACCCCATCCGATCCGAGTTCTAAACATGTCCGACCCGGCTACGGATTACGTGGCAGATGCAGCCACTACTTGTATCCAAGTAAGCCACGTTCAACGTTCGTAGAATACATATTTCACTGTTTTCAGAGCATACGTAAATCTAAATGTGTCGTAAACAGTGGCGTTCATGCATTTTCTCAATTTCTACGCAACCTTAATCCACTCCGTCTCCATTATCTCTCTCGCTCTACTTTCAACTTTCCTGTCTCTCTTACTGCTTCATCCGAATCGGCAGCCAAATGACAACCACGAAAACCGTTGCCCGAAAGTACATGCGGTAAATAGTTGCAAAAACTGAAATTGATGCCATAATAATCAGTTTAGGTCTCACGTCAATCTACTTAGGCCATTAATCAGTGGGCTACTGATTGTGTTATACAGGTTTCCTGAAGTTTGTGGCACTTACAGCCTCTTCACCCCCCTCTCCCTCTCCCTCGTACATCATCGTTTTCGGATTCATCCATTGCTTTTGAATCTTATCACACAGGCGATTGGAAACGCCCCCACCTGAGTCTTTGAATGAAATAACTCATCTCCATCCCATGTGGTAGCACACTTTGGACATCCCGATCAGTCTAACCGGGTTTTATCATACACACACATACACTGGCGATTGTGCACCTGCCTAAATTTTGTATTCAAACTAAGACCTGGCATGAGGGTATGAAAACCTTAATCAGGATATACTGGGTCACATAGGTCCTGTTGGGCTCACTGGATGAGGATCCAGAGATCATGGTCACTGGTGGTTACAAATACTGAGCGATATGGCTGGGTGTCGCAAACAGTAGCTCTCGTGCATCTGCTCATAATTCTTGCAACCTCAGTCTGTGCGAATTCTCCTCTATCTTCCGCTTGAATTTGCCATCAACATTCCAATCCTCATTCTGTTCTCTTATCCAAATGGGCAGCCAAAAGACAGCGAGCAAAACCGGCGCACGAAAGTGCACATGGTTGATGGTTGTAAAAACTGAATCTGAAAATGGCTCATAATTTCCATGACCTTAACTATTTGGTCACAGCCGCGGAAACACGCGCGAATCATCAATGGATCAAGGCGGGATTTGGTCTTCTAAATATTCATTCCGAAACAATCCATTGGTAAATGAACAATTTAACATGAAAGCCGAAATGGAGATCTATCTGAAGCTCGGGTGTCTGTTCATTCGCACATTGTCATAAAATCGGAAAAGTTACTAGATCACTGTCACCTCCTTTTTTCGGTTCAATTATTCTAGTGTATAACCAGTTGGTTCATTGTTAATGAAAAAATAAGCTAAGACAAACGACGATTTATGATTTTGGCACAAAAAAAATCTTCGTCATTTACACATTGTGGGGGTATTAGTGTTTCTAGCCAGCTTTTGAGGTCAGTTTTGTTAGAATGGTTACCATGTTCGCAACCTTAAGACTAGTCTCCGCGATAGGAGCGAAATTCAGTTGATCGATGGCTGTGCACACGAGTGAAAGTTAATCGCGATTGATCTAACCGGTAAGCGGAAATGTGGTGTAAGATACCATAACTCTCCAATTGATGATTTATAACCGCTGTTCGCAAATGGATGAATCACAGAATCGCAGTTTGCCTTGTTAGAGCGCTGACGAACTCGGTCAGGCCGGGGGCCAAAGATCAACAACAACAACACAATTACGAATTGGGTCAACACGAGCGATGCACTTCAACCTCGTGAATTACGTATTGAGTTAAGGTCACGAAAACAAGGCCGGCCCGAGTGATGTCGACTACAGCTGACCAGTATGCCCGTATCGACCAGTATACAACATCAACAGTGAAAAGTGAACACATGAATGGATGATTACAAACACCAAGGTACACGTTTTTCACCAGACGACTACAACTATTGACGAGTATCCAATCCATCAGTGGGGCTTCCCGTTTTATCGTTTAGTACGATCCCTACACCACGCTGGCCCAATGAGCGGACTTCATCGTTTCCTGGTGTACGAATGAAATACCTCGAGGACAGACCCGGCGCATTCAGATGGTTCATGATACTAGGATTCTGAATTTGTGTCTCCGATAGGTAACAGGCATCAATTTCTAAAGAATTATTCGTGCGCGCAAGATACGTTTATTTGCCAAACTGCCTAAGGGCACTCACATTGAAGGCCTCTAGATTGACAGTTTTACGCACTTTATTTACCGGCAAGAAGGGATAAAGGGAGAGGGTTGGATACGGGAGACAAAGTTAAAAAAGGTTGGGATGGGTAAACAGGGATTGAATATATTTTGAGAGAGCGGGAGAGAAGGTAGATCACCATGGTCAAAACAGAATACACTAGCTAACCGTGCATACATACCGTTTCAAGCGTTCTGGTCTGATAAGAAATGACAACAAGAACACCACTGCTGTCGGTTCGCTACCATATCCCTCAATGTCTCCAACCAACCGGTTGTGGAGTCTTTAGCACCCCAACCTGGAAGGTGAGAGGCACCTACTCTACCTAGTGGCTCTGTGTATCTCTTCATACCTCGCCTCCACGTCATCTGCTGATCTCCACGCGGTTTTCTCCGGCCCAGATTAGCTACAGCGAATAAAGCGCGGTGCGGCAGACGATGGCTGGGCATACGCAATACGTGTCCTAGCCAGCGAAGTCTACTAATTTGGATTTGATGTGCTAGCAGGTTTATTCTTGATAGACTCCCAAACATACGGCGGAGTACCTCCACGTTACCAACCCGATCGGTCCATCCCACGTGGGCTAAACTGCGCAAACACCAAGAACCGAAAATCTCTAGTCGACGGATGTCTTCTACTCGTAAATTCAAGGTCTCACAACCATAAAGTAGAACTGAGCGCAATATAAACGACCTTTCAACTTCAGTGAAACGTCGCGTTTACGCCAAATATGTTTCAGTGCTGCATATGCTGCTCGAGCCTTAGAAATGCGGACGGTTATCTCCTTTGCTGCACTATCGTCATTGGTCGCGCAACTACCTAAGTAAGAAAAGCAATCCACGGTAAATAATTCCTGGCCGTTTAGTTTTAGAGCGGGAGTACTCGAACCGCAGTCTTGTAGCATCACTTTGCACTTTGAAGGTGCAAAGCACATACCGAAAGTGGCAACTGTACTTGTTAGTCTATCAAGTGTGCTTTGCGCGTCCTCCATACATTCGAACAGGCAGACGACGTCATCGGCGTATTCTAAACCGCACAGGTTTTCTCCAGATGCCCATTTAATACCTACGTCTTGGAGACCGCTTGGTGCGTTCTCCATTATTTTGTCTACTACGAAATTGAACAGGAACGGTGAGAGAGGGCATCCTTGACAAACGCCGCCGCTGGTGACGAATGATCTACTTAGTTCATCATAGACCCTTACACGATCAGAGGTATGCGAGTACAGTGATCTCAGTAAGCTGAACTGTTTGCTGACGTGTTCTGCCCAGCGATCAAGTCGTTGATACCGATTGTGGATAGCTTGTCCCATCTTATCAATAACTGGGGTTCGCCTACCACTTGCGTTGCGTAACTGTCGGAACAGTCGTTTACTATTCCCTGATGCCGCTGCTACTTCCATTTCATTAGCTATTGTTGCTCACCAGTTCTCATAGTCCTTCTTTAGGCTCTTCGTGAGCCGACGTTGTAGACGCCACCTAACGCTGTTTTGATCCTGGCAAGTCGGGACATACAGTTTTTTCTCCATCAAAACTACTGACTCCTGAGATATCCAATGCTTCCGACGGGCTTGAGGCTCAGACCCGCAATCAACATTCGATGCGGAATGAATTGTTCGCCAAATCTGATCCCACTGCTCATCTACATCATCAGGTTGCGGCGCGCTTACAGTTCGCGATTCTCATGTTCAGATCATTTATTCTTGGCACTCAAGGTCAGACACGTTTAATTAACAATCATGCAGCCCGTACATCAAAGTAGACAAGATATAAATTATTGTCCACACCTAGAGCATTAATACGGGTGATAAATATAATGAAACTCCCTTTGATCATAAAGAAAATATTTTAGTGCATCACAATCGGCCAGTACTGTAGTCCACGCACTAGCTCTGATCCATAGCGCACACGAACTGCTGGAACAGATAGTTGATGATAAGCTATCCGAGTATGCTGAATTCGTCGCGGGCCAGTCAGTCGGAGAGTGAACTGCATCAAAACTAATTCTTAGTCAGACTCAAAGAAGGTGGTATAATAGGACCTGCAATTATGCACTGAGCCACGCCAACGGTAGCTTACTGCTATGTGGTCGATTCGATCTAGCCTATCAGGTGAACTGGAGCGCCACGTTGCCGTCCCTCGAGAGCTATGTCGGAAGTTGGTGCTTGATAGGAACAGATGATGATCCACGCATAACTGAAGAAGTCGATCACCGTTATTTGTTCGTTGGCAAGGAACAGCATAACTACCGCCTAGACAAGCTTCTGATGCGCTCAGTTTTCCAATGTGCAAGTTGAGGTCATCTGCAAGTACAACTATGTCGGAGCTTTGACTCAGCCGCGTGAGATCGACAAGTTCATCGAAGAAAGCGTCCTTTTGAGTATCAGAGCTGCAGTTGGTCGGTGCGTACGCTGATACGATGAACAAAAACCTTTTGGCGTTGCTTCCCTTCCGGGAGCTGACTGAACCCTGAGGACGAACTGCACATAAGCGACTTTTGACGAGTCGATAAGGGAGGACCTCACCTAGTTACTGAGTACAATACCTACCCCGCGCTGACCTACTGAACGAGCTTTATCGTCACCTGATGTGCGAAGGACGTATCTCGAAGACGAATCTGGCGGGCTCAAGTGGTTCATAGTAGCAGGATCCTGGATCCGAGTTTCCGACACGCAGCAAATATCGATTCCTAAGGACTCCATTGTACGAGCCAGACAAGCTTGTTGACCTAGCTGCGTCAAAGTCCTCACGTTGAAGACCCCCAGATTCATTGATTGACGAGGCTTTAGAATCTACAATTCACTTCGTGGTACAATACTGACAGTGCTATTTGGCAACGACCTTTGACGAGCAACCTCCAAGTTGGTTGAGGGACTATTGGAGGTTGGAAGGAGCAAATGGAGAGGGCCGGGTACTGAAGACAAAGAATTAAACAGTAGCAGTAGCCCACTTATCACTACCCACCCCGGTCGATACAATGGGCAGAGCGGTCCTGATGATCCTGCATGATGACCGATGCAGTATGAAATTACTTTTAGTTTGTGTATGCATTGGGGTTTGATAGACGGGTGTCCAGCCACTAAGCAGGAGAACGATTAGGG